AACATGGGGTCTATCGCAAAACCGTTGGCTGGTGCAGTGTAGGTCGGACTCTTCTAAAGTCCTGCCAAATTTCATGTTGATTGGTGCATCTGTTTTTGTGGTACGGTTGACCACAAATCTCCGGAGGAAAAAAAAAGTACGAAAACAAAATGACGCCTGCTTACACTTTGCGTGTGGGAGTCATAATAATAATTGATTTATTTCTGCTTTCTATTTGTCACCAGTTTCTTTGGTTTAACTGTTAATGGAAGATGTGTTAACAAAATCCCTTAGTTTCCCCTTTGAATTCAGAGTGAACATACTCCTGAAGCTGAAGAAAATTGGTTGACTTTGACGTAATAAAAATGATAAACATGCTCAAAGGGATTATAGTAGGTGATTTGAGTTAGAGGATGATTCATCCAAAAGTAAAAAAAAAAAAAAAACAACCTAACACGTAAATTAAACAGGACAAAGATGAGAAGTGTGATATTGGGAAGTGTTTCCTCGTTTGTGGATTCTTGATACAGATGTTTTCTTCAACTTGTCGTGACTTGAGTGTCTGAGAGTAAGCACCCATTTCTGTAAATCAGTAATCACTGAAATTATCATCATCAAGATGATGATTGGTTGCCTTTTTTATCTCAAATTATTTTATTATCTCCTGGCACGAGGGTGAAACTCTCACGGTTTCTCTTTCTTTTCCACCCCCGTTCAGCTTTCATTGAGAACTTCCAAGCCCCGTGYGCGAATGGCCGTGAGGCGAGCAGGTCGACCAGCGAGGCCCCGTCGTGGAGGCCGCAGCACACCGCCATCACCGTCTCCAAGAAGCGCAACTGGCTGCAGCAGAGCTCCCAGGGAAGGGCTCAGCTGGCCAAGGATGAGCTGCAGGGAGTGCTGGGAGCCGAGGAGGAGGGCGGCCAGGGTCTCCATCAGCTGCCRCCTCCCCCCAGTCCCTCGCCCGACCACCTGAGACACACGGGGGGAGCGCCGTCTCGGCCGGTCCGCCTACTGATTCCTCAGGTGAGCTTCTTCATCCAAGAATGACGTGGAGGACGACCAGTGGTGGACAAAATACTCGGTGTCCTCACTTGTGTGAAAGTACTGATCCTACTGGTTAAATATTACTCCAATAAAAGGTACAAGTAGCTCGAGTAAGGGGTCTCTGCAGAAGGTTTTGTCCTGTGGGCGGAGACGGCCCTACTCATGATTGGCGGAGGTTTCGATGTGGGCAGAGATGGCCCAAAAGATGTGATTGGTCGGACTGACGGTGGGGTTTGAGGCTGGGGGCAGCGGGGAGTAGCTTGATCGAGTCAGGCAGGAAGCAACATGTTTTTTAAGATTAATTTTAGTCATAAAATAAAGTCAGTGACAGGTGAAAGTAACAATAAAACATTTAATAACAATTCACAAATCTCAGTAAATGGACTTCTTGTTTCTGATCATGAAAAAATTGCTAACTTATTTAATGAATATTTTATTTCTTCAGTAAGGACCTCGCTATCTGCGCATGCTAATACTTAAAAGTTATTTAAATATTCTGATAATTCAACGCAATTTTCATTTTCTGAAATTTCACAGAGTGATGTTTTGAATACACTCCAATCT